TATATATAATTCAATTTATGAGAGAGAGTTCATTTCGGGAACAGATTAGGATTATATGACAAACACTGGATTTAATCCAAGTTTTAGAGTTTAGACTCTTTGTTTATAGAAAGTTTTCTCTTAATTTTTATGAAAAATAATTTTAAATACAAATTTCGTGATATTCTAGTCAAATACAGGAAAATTTACCAAGCTTCCATTATTCACCATTCCCAATATTTTTCCTTGTAACATTATTATTCGCTTAAATTTATGACTCCGTAAAGTTTTTTTAATAAATCTTACTAATAAATTATGATATGAACTAATTAAATAAGAATCAAAACTCACCAAAATTTATTATTTCAACAAAATTTAAATAATTAAAGAGAATGTTAAAAATCAAAAAGTCATTAATCCAAATGATTGTACATATATATTCTTCGATTAAAGATTAGAGTTAGATATTTGGTTCATTGAGTCACGATGGGACTCATCCAATTAAAAAGGGTTATACCTTCTCATATAATTTAAAAAGAGAGAGAATATGTTACAAAGACAATTTTAAAGGAAATGTCATTAACATTCATGTTAAAGACATTTAAGAAATTTTAATTCGGTATAACTCCTATTAACTAGTTAATAAATGTTCAGAGTTGATAGAAGTTCTTTATGACAGGAAAAAATGTTACAAACATTTTTTAACATATTTTTTCACTATGTAGTTTTTGAGTTTTATTATGATAACCCTACTAAATAATTTGAAAATAAAACCAGTTATAAAAAAATAAAATATGGTGCTTACTTTGTTATAAAATATAGGAGAAACTATTCAAAGAAGCTATGTGTTGATTAAAATCTGTTGACTAGAAACAAAGAATCCAGATAGTTTAAGGGGGTGTATTGGTTTAGGATTTCATAGGATTTTAAAAGACTTTTTTGAGTAAAAAAGTCCGTTAGTATTTGATGAAGATTTTATGTCACTTAAAAACAATCTAATGGTATTCAATATGAATTTTCAAGATTTTTTTAAGAGTCCATTAAAATTAATTGGTATTCATTTGAGACTTTTTACAACTTAAAAATAATTCATTGGCATTAAAAATATAGAGATTTTAAAGGATTGTTGTATTAGAGGGATTTTAAAGGACTTTCTAGTAGTATCTATAAATACCAAATTCATAAAACAATCTCATCCAAACCTATTAGATTTTAGAGGATTGTTTGAAGTGACTTTTCATCTTCTTTTTTTTATGCTCATGTCTTCTCCATTTTTTTTTCTCTTGCTAATAATATTGCACTATTGCTCATATATAAAATTGTACTCCTGTTCTCATTCCATTATCTTATTTGGTGAAACTTCTATACATAAATGATAATGTCATTGACTTCTATTTTTCTCTCTGTTCTCTTTAATTAACTTTCTCTATTTTTTTCTATTTAGTTGAGATTGTTCCTCAATTATATAACATAGAAAATGCTTGAAATTTCAACTTTTAAGTAGTAATTTTTTTTATAACATGCGTCAAGAAAAGGGAAAGATGAAAGTTAAAATTAATATCATGGACCTTGTAATCAATTTAGATTTATTAGAACAAAATAGATAAATATATATATATAAGATGAATTTGAGTTAGGGTTTCTGTGAGTAGAATAAGATAAAAATGGATCTTAGTTGGGGGAAGAACCCTCTCAGCACAAAAACCGTGATCTCTCTCTCTCTTGAATTTGTTACTACTATCCTTCCCCTTTTATGATTCAACAATTATTTTATTTCTATTTTTTACTATGAATTTTATTTTTTTAATTTTGATATTGTGAAATTAGGATTTTTTTTATATTTTAAAAAAGAAAATTAACATAAGACATTGTAGCATCTTAGAATTCAATACTAAAAATATTTCTTCACAAGTGAATAATTGAAAACAATTAAAAATATTATTTTGCACCTGTGACAAATTTCAAATTTTTTTTTCTCGTAGTTGATGTTTATAAATTTTTAAGATATTTTAAATGAATAAAAGTGTATGAAAGACAAACTTTCACTCAAATACCAATATAAAACAAAGGGACATATTTAGTTATAAGAGAGTAGGGTAGCTGTCTCACTATTGTTTTAACCATTTATAAATTTATAAACAAAATATTTTAAATCACAAATTATAAAAAATTTGAAATGTTGTTTAGAATAATTTTTAGCATGTGCAACAGTACATAAATTTCTTTGTAAAAAATGTCATTATGATGAATTTCCAATTGGAGTGGTGGACAAATCTTCATCTTGAACATTACTGATTAATGAAAATCATAATTTTGAGCCTATTATTAAAACTCAGGTGCAAGAGCGAAAAGATGCTAATGCTTGGAGGACTAATACATATATGGATATGTGGGTGAATGCTATTTAGAAGGACATTATATTATGAAGAATTATTATTATTATTTATCTAGATATTGTTGTTTTTTTTTTTTTGACTTTGACTCTTTAAATTTGAATATGAAAAAAAAATTCTTGAACTCTTATTGTATGTCAAAAATCTACAAAATTTTACAAATTTTATAAAGTCCCGCATAATCCATTAAAATCCTAACTTAAAAGTCTTGTAAATCCATTAAAATCCTAATTAAAAATCTTGCGAAATCCTATAAAATCTTAAAAATCATGAAAATCCTGCAAAGTCTTTTAAAATTCACAAGACCTTTTTTCAACTAAAAAAATCCCTTTAAAATTCTAATCCAATACACCCTCTTAAATTTAACTTATTTTTCATACAACTTCTATGTTACATAAATATTTTCAGGACCCTTGAAATATCACTACCGCTATGGTAGTGCTGAAACAAGAATCTTTTGTAGTTTAGTTTGAAAATAATTAAGGAAGAAAGAAATAAAAAAAAAAGTGGGTCCAGTACAATTTTATTTCTTCACAAACATACATGGAAATAAACGGTGAAGGCATTTTTTTTTTTGAAAAATAATCGGTTTTTATTGATTTATATGAAAATCAATTCTAATTTAAATAATTTATATTTAAATGATTATTATATATATATATATTATTTTTTAAATCATTTTTTTTTCTCAAATCATTTCACACTTTAACTTTATTTCCATTCTCCTATTTATATCTATTTTATTTCTCACTTATTTTTGTCCTTCCTACTAAGCACACCCACATGAAATTCACCTCCAAAATAATAACAATTGGTTTGTATAATTGTCTTTTCCTATTTTAAATGATTTTTAAAAAACTGAAAGAAAATATCGAATTAATAATAATAATTTTACATGATAGTCTGGATTGTGCTTGAGGCCTATTCCACCTAATAGGGAACCTTGGCCCAACACAAGGAAGAGATAACTGTAGTCAACTTCATCACCTAGGTGTATGAACACTACAACACACATAAATAAAAAGAAAAGAAAAAGTGTATTTAGGGTGAATATCTTGAGTAAAAAAATTTCGAATCAACAACGGTCAAAATATTGTGAGGAGATTAATCTTTGATCTATTAAGTTGAGAGATTAATCTTTCATCATTCTTTATTTTTAAATTATTTAAAAATTGAAACTCAATTTAATAACTTTAAGATATGCCATTAACTTCAAATTATAAAATATTATCCACATACGATTTTTAAATTTTTTTATAGAAGATAAAAAATAACCAAAATATGGAAAAAAAATTCATAAACCATTTTCTAAAATAAAATGGTCAAAAGTAGACAGAAAAACATATATGTAAGCTTATAATAATATAATAATAAAAAGATGTTTTATTTGACGATTGATACATAATAAAGTCTCTAAAGATGATAATTTAAGGTTAAGAGTGTTACAAAAAAATAACACAATCCAAGAGGGGGGGTGAATTTGATTCTATGACCTTTTAAAATTTTTAGAATATTTTGGATATTTATTTCACTTAAACTTTTCTAAGACTGAATTTTCAATGAAGTTTCTTTAAAGACTTGTTATAGAAGAATGAATTCTATATGCCTTCTTGATTACAAAATAATGAGGTTCAAATGTAATGCTTTAATTTAGTTTAAACCACCAATATTCACACACATGCTAATCAAGAATCATCTTCTTTAATGTACAATCAAGATATTACTCAAAGTAAAAGATAAAGGTAGAAGAAGATTGCACAAGTCTTTTATCCTGGTTCAGCCACTCCACATGTGACCTACATCCAGTCCTCAATCAGAACCTGATCAAGATTTGTTCCACTATCTTAATGAAGAAGGTTTACAAGCATACCACACATGCATATACTTCAACACTCAAGATAACCACTTTCTTGACCCCAAGAAAGCACCCCTTGTAGAAACCCACTACAAGAATCCTTACCACTTGAGAAACCCTTCTCAAGATTTTACAAGTATTCACAAAGAATTAAGGAACGAATTCACCTGG